CAGCGTTCTCGTGGGCTATTCAAACTGATAGGCTTCATTTTAATAAGTGTTGAGCCTTCGGTAACCCATGACATTTCTCCACTAATAAACCCCTCTAAGCCGTACTACAGACCAAATGGTAGGTCTGCCAAGGGGAGAAGGTTTTGGGAAGGAATTTAAACCATTCCATCCCTTTGCAACAATTAATAACTTCATCCTTATAAAGAGTAAAATGCAGCATTAAAAAATGCGTGGTGGTTGAAAATTGAAGTTTCGTTTGTGATTTATTTACTCTTTGATTTTGTGCTTCTAAGACTTCCAAAGCATTATAGTCAGTAATGACAGTTACCTCTTCTTTTATGAGGAGCCCACTGTCGCACTGGTGGAGTTGGGAAGTGCCAGTGAAGATTAAAGACCTAATTTCAAAAGACACACACAGTCGATCTCTCAGACAGCTGTTTATTTTGCTTACCTTTTGCCTTTCATCTTATCACACAAAGCAGGAAGTAGGCTCTTCTTTTCCAGGTTCAAGTGATAAATCTCTTTTGGTAACATGTTTAAGGAACCTAGGGAAGAAAATAAGCCTAAATACTTCTGTGTCTTTGGTGAAATGCTGCATGGGCAACTGTTAAAATAATAAGCTTCTTGAAATCCCGTAACAGAAAATGTATTTGTGCTATACAATATCTTCTTGTCAAAAGACTTAGAATTTTAAATTCTTTCATTTGTGTGTAAAAAAAATGCTTTAAGTCAAAACGTTTTAGAAGATATACTTTCTCCTTTTGATTACTGACACTACTTTCAAATCAGTAAGACATGACAAGGTGAATTGCATGAAAAGTCAATAGAATGCCTTTTATTCGGTTTGCAGAGAACCTTACTTCTCCCTACTGAAGATCCCCTTGTCAGTGTGCTGGCCAAACAGTTCAACTGTTCTGGCCAGTAAATGTTATCCATTCCTTAAAAAAGATGTAGCTTAGGGGCTCCTGGTGGCTCAATTGGTTAAGCGTCCAACTCTTGGTCTTGGCTCAGGCCCTGATCTCAGGGTCATGAGATCAAGCCCCACATTGGGCTCCCTGCTCAGCAGGGAGTCTGCTTGAGATTCTCTCTCCTTTTCCCTCTGCCCCCCTGCTCGTGCTCTCTCTCAAAATAAATAAATAAATCTTAAAAAAAAAAAAAAAAGAAAAAGATGTGGCATATATATATGTATACCCAATGGAGTAACATTCAGCCATGACAAAGAAGGAAATCTTGCCTTTGGACAACATGGACAAATCTCAAGGGCATTATGCTAAGTGAAATAAGTCAGAGAAGGACAAATACTGCATGGTATCACTCATATATGGAATCTAAAAAAATTTTTTTAGAAAGAAGTCAAATTCTTAGAAGCAGAGAGTAGAAGGGTAGTTGCTAGGGGCAGTAGAGTAGCGGCAAAAGGGGACGGTTGGTAAATGCAAACTTCCAGTTATAAGATGAATAAAAGTCTGAGGATCAAATATATAACAGTGACTCTAGTTGATACCGGTCCTGTATAATTGAAGTTTGCAAAGGGAGTAGGACTTAAATGTTCTCACCAAAATATATATAAAAACATGCGAGGTGACGGATGTGTTAATTAAGTGGGAGGAATTCTTTCACAATGTATATGTATATCAAATCATTACGACGTACACTTTAAATATCTTACAGTTTTGTCATTCGTACCTCAGTAAAGCTGAAAAAAAAAGGCTATCCATTCCAGCCAAACGATCTCTGAAAAGTAAAGCCTGTGTTCCCATTGACTTTCAATGAAAAGTAGAAAGTTTACTTATGCCCTAAATTAAAAAACTCTCCCAATAACAAGTCTTCAGTGAGTTAATGCATATAAATATGCAGTAAATGTGAGCTACGATTTGCTAGCACGGTTACACTTCTACCAAAAAAAAAAAAAAGGTTCAGCCCTGGACCAGATCCCAGCCTTGTTGGGACCCACAGGCTCCTACACAAAGCTACTGTTCGCTGGAATCACTTTGGAGACCCCCAAGACAAATTGCCCTTGCCTCGAGGGCAGGCTTCCGTGGCCCTCCTCCAGAGTCTGGAGCCGCACGCTGCGAAGTCCTGACTCTCTTCTATCGCTGAAGTCTGGCAGTCAGCCGGACTCTATTTCCTTCCTCTGGCCTCCTGTGGCTCTTGCTCTGGGGTATCCAGGCCCCAGGGACACGGGGATGATGAACGAGATGCAGGCCCTGCCCTCAGGAAGTATAGGCAGGTCACAGAGGCAGACTGGAAAACCGTAATTGCAACAGAGCGAAAAATGTGTTTGGAAAGAGCTGTGCAAAATGCATCACAGGAACAGAGGAAAGGCACATAACACAGACTTCTGGGAGCATCTGCTCCCATCTTTCTGCCTCCCAGGGCACAAATGACAGCAAGCTGAGGGTCCTGTAACATTTTGACGTTTATTTCAGGAGAATGTAGTTGTCTCCTGTTTCATCAAGGATGTAACTCAGCAATGGTGTAACTTTATATTTAGCTTGAGAGACATCATCTAAAATGCTAAATTACCATTTAAATTACAAGGTTGTCAAGTCAATCAGAAGGTTGGTGTTTACATTATTTTTCATTATTTCAATATTATTGAACGTAATTTTAGGAGTTTTAGGAGTATGGACTGTGTACTGAATTCCATGGCGCAATAAAGGGAATAAGATGTAAATGCAATGACATCCTTCAGGATTTTCAGTGGCCTGACAGGAGGGTCTTTTTTCAACATGTGGGCGCCTTGCCTCTAGATAGGGATGTGTATGACTTCATTCAGTTTTAAGATCGAGCCCAATTAGAATGCAGTGTAAGCTTACAGGGTCTGTGCGGTACACAGCTCCGGGGGGACCCTTGGCTTACACTGTGATGTGAGTAGTGCTTCTTAGAGCTTTTAAGTGCTCTGAGCCCCATGGCCTATTTCTCACGGGATCCCCGGTGACTTTTTTCTGGGAAACCATTTCTTCTCATATCACCCTCTCTCATTGCCCCCTTCCCCCTAAATCTCTTTCCCTCAATTACTGGTCTCTATGTAATGTATGTAGGATGGCTAGTAATCGTTTCTAAGAAATGTGGTCGTTAGTCTAGGGAGGAGAGGTGTAAAAATATGGGGAAAGAGGTACATCTTAGAAGTCTTAAGATGCAGTATTATTACTTTTCTCCACAAGTACTTGCACTATAGACAGCTGACCTCACTCACCTTCAAATGTCTGTCATCTCCAAGGCAAGGAAACATTCTGCAGGAAGGCAGGCACACTCGTCCTAGCCCTGTCTCTGTCTTTAAAAGGTCACACAGTTCTCTGGGCCTCAGTCCCATCATTTGTAGTCTGAAGAAATTGGACTCTAGTGCCTTTCAGATTTGACATTATGTAATTCTCATAAATAAAGAGTAAACAGTCCTAAAAATCTCTCTTCAACTCTCCTTTGAGCTCTCCAGATGGTTGATTTTAAACTTTAACATTTCACATAGGTATAGAGTTGCATTTTTCACGGTGAGGACTTAATGTCACTAATACTCCACTAAAGTAGTCTGATGCCCGTGTATACCCACCACACATTGTTCTAGAGGAGTGCGTTTGAAACATAACATAGCTAGCTAGCACTTACTGCTTACTAGATGTACTTCTCCCTGGCTAGCTGTTTTGAAATTAAGCCATCGAATGCAGAATGTGATATACCCACACCTGTTCAAAAGTCACCTCATCTCAAAATTCGAAGCATTCTCAAATATATAAAGTTAAACTACAGGGAACAGCTCACAAGAGACAGTTACAAGCAAAAATTAAATATTTGCTGTAATTGCAAGAAATTCCTGTAGAAATGCAGGAGCAATGCAAGAAGGAATTCTCTAACTAGTCGCCAGTCCCAGCCTCACACAAAGGTCATGGATGTTGCAGGGTCTTTCTTTACTTTTCCCTTGAGCCCCCTTTCAGGCCGTACAGACTCAGTGACGGGTGGATGCTCTCTGTACTTTCTTCTCTCGCTTTTCCTTGTTCCCTTTTCTACCCATGTGTCTGCCCCGCCTCCAGAGCCCAGTTCTGTTCTGCCGACATCCACTTGGCCAAGGCCCCAGGGATCTCTGGCCCTGATTGACAGCAAAAGGTGGCTTTCACAGTCTTACTAAGGGTGCAGGCTTTGCTCTTTTTAATTTTTCAAAGTGGGGCATTTACAAAACAACAAAACCCTTTCCCCCCCCGCCAAATATGATGGGATCATGTGGCAGAGCAGCTGGAACAGAGGTTTTAAGGCAGGATGGGGCCTAGTATGTCCGTGGACTGGCAAGGAGGTCCTGGGGGCTGGAGCCGGGGGAGCAAGTGGGAAGAGGAGGGTGAGAGGGCCAGCTCGTGTAAGATCATCCTGAGTCCTGTTGTGTGGATTTTGACTTTTACTCCGAGTCCTCAAGGAGTCAGTCTGGTGGGAACATAGGCCGATGAACAGACAATTGCCGAATTATCTTCCTAAAACTGTTTTGGAAAAAGGTCACTATATTATCTTAAGATCATGTGCCCTTCTTATTTCCAGCCATGGATATTAGAAAAATAAGCAAAATACTAGTTTGCCCTTTTCTTGTTAATTTTACCCCTGAACGTAAAAGCTGAATCTTCATACTGAATATGCATTTTCTAGGTCCTGTGTTACCTCTGATGGCTAATTGTTTCCTTGCAAGTGTCTCTTCGTAGAGTTAAAACACACACTTCTTTAAGAATGACTGGACTCTGAGAGCACATCTGCTGCTTGTGATTACACATCTGACCTGCATGTTACGCTTGCGTATGGGTATTTTTCCTGAATTCAGATGTAACGTTCTGACTTTCCCACCGATGAGTGGCAGTCAACCCATCATCCCCAGACAATGAATAGAATCACGAACTTCTGTGGATCATCTTCTTCCTAAAGCTGTTTAGAAAAGGAATTTTCAAAGTAAGGAGGGAGAAGGATGGCGAATGTTCTGTGGGCGGTCATGATGTATAAACTGTGTTTCTGTTGTTCTGTCTTACTTCTAGCTACAAGAAAACACACGAAACCCTGAGTCACGCAGGGCAGAAGGCAACTGCAGCGTTCAGCAACGTTGGGACGGCCATCAGCAAGAAGTTTGGAGACATGAGGTACTGTGGGAGAGATCCATGGGGACGCTGCTAAGCCTTTGGCCTTCTGAGGGAAGGGGAGCTTTCTCTATTGGCTGGTCTTCCTAACATATTCTTTTTTAATTGGATTAACATGTTACTCGGCTGATGATGATTGGTGACTGAGATCGACTTTTATAATGAAGAGTTTTCTGCCTGCTGATTTGCTTAGTGAGCCTGGTCCCAAACATGCCCTTTCCACTAGGACATGACCTAATAAAAATGGGAGATCTGGGTCTCCTTTAATTACCGGTAACAAGGGGGGGGGGGCGGATTTCAAAAGAATGCAGCATATCCTGAATTTTATTCGCTAAAATTTAAACAGTAAGTTAAATATGCATTCAGTGGAATGTACTCTGATAAACTATTCTAAGTTACATTTTTGTATACATCCATCTAGGATCTTTTTCTATGCTAAAAACATACATTTTTATTCTTTTATTCCAAAAAGGTACCATGGTATATAGTCCTTGCACATTTGGGTTATTTTCAGTATTTCATTATTATATAAAGTTAGGGTGAACATAAAGATTTTGAACTGAGAACCAATTGTCCTCACTATAGGCGCCAGAAAAAACAGTGCAGTTTTTACCATTTTTATTTTTTACATTATGTTTTAGTAAGTTACCTATCTATAGAGTTGTTACTTTCATTTTTTTTTTTTTTGCTTGTTTAAATACCTTTCATAGTTTATTTTGAATTTGGTGATATATTTGGGAGACTTTATATCAATTTTATTTTTCTCTCTAGAAATCAAATTCATTTTTTAAAAAGTTTTGAAGTACACATTTTAAATGTCTTCCTTTTAAAAAACTGCATATAATTTTACTGGATTCTTAAACTATTTCTTTACTACCCTACAACTTCGATACTTAGAGGCAAATATTTATATTGTTGTGTTTAGGTTATTTTTGGCTTCATACATTTCTGGATTGTGCCCCTGCATTATCTTCACAAGTTGGCATTCATGAGGCTAGAGTTACATGTGTGTGAATCTGAATTACATTGTTTTATCTTCGTATTTATTGATAATGCGATAATGAAAAGCAACTGAAATTTTTCAGAGGCTGCATGTGATGAATAGGTAAACCTTCTGGATTATTAATTAACCCTGATTTTATTACATTTTATTATTACATTTTATTACAAATAAAATTTGTTGTCATGTCAATGGCATTAAAAATGTTTATCTAAACTAATTAAATAATTAAATAATTTCTCAAAACAGAAAATACACTCTTACCTGCTATATCCAAGGAAATATATTTTGCCATATTTATAAAATTTGTCTTCCACATTCTTAGTTGAAACCTTCCACTGGAACACTAGAACCACCCCATGATACTAAAGTGTTACTTCTCCAAATTTAGGAGACTTTACAAATACCGCTGAATCCTATTTAAAGTACATATTCCAGATTCCACCTCTCCGAGATCATGCCTCAGTGGGTCTTGAGTGGAGTCTAGGAATCTGCATTTGTAACAAGCTGTTAAGTGGCTCAACATCAGGTGGTTAGGTTATGAGGAGGCCACATGTAACTTAGCTCACCTGTATCCAGGTGTTCTCATTTACGAAATGGGGATAAGAGAAGAGAGCCTGCCATTTATTAAGCACTCAATAAATGCTAGTTTTTATCCTAAGTGACCATCTCAGTTAAAAGATGACCCCACATAATGGAAATGAGGGAGTATACATTAACAGGAGTGCACTGTGGTATTTCATAAAGGTTTTGTTCGTTTTCCTAAGTGGAAGAAAATGAAGACCCTTTCACTTATGCAGTATGTTAACATATTCACGTTCATACACTAATTGGCTATAACATCACGGTTGTGTTGACTTCTTTTTCTCTGTTTCAGTGTGGCTTTGTTTTAGGGTAATGAATGATCTATTTTCCAGAAGTTTCAAACTTCATTAATTGTTTCTCTATATAGAGGATACAATACTTTCATTATAAACTGTGGCTAAAAATACTGGAAAGTATGTCACTGGAGACTCAAATATGGTCCTGTAAAATGTTGTAGAGTTTGCAAAATTCAGACCTATATTTTTCTCAACTAAAACATCTAACATATATAACTGAGGATCAGTCCCTGCGAAAGCAACGGGTTTTACAAAAAATTTTCAGTTTTAAATTATGCTAGAACAAGTAACGTATGTGAAAGTCACATTTGAAAATTACTTACATTCTGTATAATAAAGATTTTTAAATGAGAAAGTTTTTATTTTTCATTTAAATTGATTTGCCAATTTATAAAATGCTAAATTTAAAAATTATATCACATTTTACTTTGAACTCTTTTTTAATATAAAGTATCATTTTATCCTATATTCCTGTTATTTATACTATAAAATTCTTCTGTGCATTCTGGGAAAAAATTTTTGAACTTGTTCAAAAAGATTTCCAGCAAAGCTCAGATACCTCTCAGTTTTTTTTTTTTTTAATTATTACAAGTTAATACTTACAGATTTTAAAAACTTAGAACTTGGGCCTTTTAATAAGTTAATGAAAAGCATTCTGTGAGGATTTAAATTGATGTGTTTTATAAAAACAAGTCATATTCTTCAGGCCAAGATTCTCATTTTATCCTGATTGCCGTTGACTGAGTCCCCATAGCTCCATTAGGGAACTAACCCCCTCTCTTTCTCTACCTGTAAAATAACATTGTTCACAGCTACCTAACTAAAATGCTTCCTGCAAAGGTAAAACAAGGACACATTTATGAAAGTACTCTGAAGCAATGCAAGCTCTTGGAATTGTTTTTATAATAATACCGGCATCTTCTTGGAACTTCTCAGTCATTTGTTCAAACCACGTGTGAACAGGTGGAGATGAGGCTCTTTGGAGGAAGCATAGAACTTTTATTCGAGTCCAACCATCTCTCTATAGTCATGAGAACAGTAGTTAGAAGTACAACTTATAAGAGGTTGATACAGTAATTATTAAGACACATTAAAAAGTATACTCCCAAAGAGTAATGAATGGAGTCATGTCATCTTTGCTTTGGGGCTCTTGAGAGGGGGGACAAGGGCACTGCGGTGCTGATATGCTAACTCTGGTCCTGCTCTCTCTTTTGCTTCCCCGGGCTGCAGGTCTCACTCCATTGGGTAAGCGCTGCCTCTAGGGCCCTACCGGCCCCCTTACTGCTCCCTTCCTTTCCAGAGTCCACTGCTCCCTTCACACCATGGGTGCGCCTCAGCCAAAACATGGGGTCTCCTTTCCTGAGAGTGTTCGTGACCAGGGGTTTACAGAGTGTAGGGCTTCTGATGTGATTGAATTTATTTAAGCATCTAGTTGTCTCATTTTGGAATCATTTATACCAGTTTCACTTGCTGAGCAATCTCTTAGGAATCCCTTCCTACATTCTCAATCCTTCCCGCATTGGCAGAGGTCCTCAGTATTGAAAGAAGAAAAAAAGAAAAGCAGAAGTTGAGAGTTGTATGTTTTTATGAGACGTGTAAAAAGTAAAATCGAGAAACAGAAAATTGTTGTGTTTTTCTGAACGTCTTGTAACTGTTTCTTACGTGGATGGTTCACCTTCAACTTTCTGTACCTTCTGAAGTTGAAGAGGGGAAAGGTTTCCAGAAGCTCATACGTTTGGAAGTGTGCAACTGTCCAATTAAACCCTCCTTCAGCAGGAATCTTACGATATATTTTTTGGGGGGTGGACTTTTTTTCCTAAGAAAACTGCCTGTATTTAAAGAGATGAATAGATTGATAATGCTGATGAATTTCTTTTACTAGTTCCTTTTTTAATGTAATTTCTGGGGAAATATTTGCCTATATTTTCTAAGTGGAGTGTCTAAGTAAGATCATAAGTACTCCCTGAATTTTTTTGTCCTTTTCTTTCTGAGTTCTAGTAAAGTGCTGCCCATACTGATGACCTCAGTGGATATTGTCGGGGAAGGGTGAGGAGTTTGATCCCTTACTGTTAGCTTCTTGGGAGGAGACGCAGGGATGGTGTTGGAAAGTGTAATGGGGGAGCACTATCCCAGGAACAGAGACCCCATACATAGGGCTTCCTCCCTCATCCTAGCCTGATTTCTGAGTGGAACTCACAAAGGAGTAACAGGTGATCCCATCAGAGGGAAGATGAGCCAGCTACCATAGGATCAATAGAGTGAGAAGGCTGAAACTCTTAGAATTCTCAGAAATGTTGATGTATTTGTACCAGATATCCTAGAATGGATGCAGAGGTCCCTGCTCCCATGTTGGACTGTGTGGATTGTATTTGCCTGATATGTGTTTCCTTGAATGTCTTATGTGAACCACATATATTCCTCTGGAGAATTTCTCCACAGCGGAACAATTAGCTTTCACCTGCCTTTGTACCTTCCTAGGTACAGCCCTTCCTCTCTTCCTGAAAGAAGAAAGAAGAGAAGGGAGTGGGAGTTGAACCTGGGGAGGATGTCCACGGGCTCCTGGGAGCACCTGGAGAAACCAGACATTCTCCTCAGATTTCCTGGCATACCGGGAACCCACAGGACATAAAATAACACCCAACTTGGACAGTGTACTCTTCCCTTATACCCTTGAAAGCTGACCGTGGCCCACCCTACCCAACGAAAACAAACGTCATCTTGGTGGGGTGGGCAAGGAATACTTAAGACAGTTGAAATTGCTGTTTTAGAACTGTGAATAGGGAGCTTCTCATGTACTTACGTTGTGCTATCTTCTTTTTTCTTTTTTTTTTTTCTTTTAATCTGCTTTTGCCCTGAAGCTACTCCATTCGCCATTCCATAAGTATGCCTGCTATGAGGTAATGTGTGTAAATTACTTTATATAATATCAGTGCAGAATGTGTATGTATGAAGTATTACTTTGATAGTTACTTTGCAGAGATTTTCCCCTCCTCTTAATATGAAAAGCAGTGACCTTCCTTACTCTCTTTCCTGACAGCCTTCAGGAGAAAAGGCGGACAGTTCTGTTGAAGTAGGGTATGATGGGCTTCGGCTTCTGACCAAACACGCTGGCTTACGTCCAGTGTCTCCTGATTTGTGTGACCTGAGACAAGTTACTTACCTAGCTCGATGTCCATTCTCTTACCTGTTGTGTGACATAAAGTAACCTGTGTGAAGCACTTTCTTAGCGTAGGGCCTGGAGCCACCATGCCTGCAAAGGCAGAAATACGTGCCTTATTTCAGTAGAACTAAACGCAAGCCTGGGAGGAAGGTTCAATGAAGGGAATAACAGGCTGAGAGGACTGCAGTTGTAGAAAGGACATCACCAGGATTTTTTAACGTAGATGTTAAGGTGAGGTGTCTGTTAAGCAATGAAAATTACTAGCTGGGTGAAAACTTCTGAGAAAGACATCCCCCACTGGGGGTTTGTGTAGCTTAGTGAGGCAGTCAGATAAAAGCACACTAATAGTAACAGGGTATCAAAGAATGAATGTCCGATTGCGGGGGGTGGGGGGCACGTCAGGAGACGCAGATTGTAGCCCGGCTCTGCCAAGAATGAACTTTGCAGCCTTGGGAAAGTCACCTCAGTGATATCAGTTTCATCATATTTAAAATAAGAGGCTAAAACCAGATTTACTGCTCTTCCCACTGCTCTTGCCCTGGACTTCCGTGGTGGGGGACGCGTAGGGGGGCCATCAAGCCTCCAAGACCCTTCCCCACTTCAGTCTGAACTGTGCCTTTTCTGCCTGCTTTATAGTATGTGTTGTGCTGTGATATGTTAGAGAGGGGATTCGGTTGCTCTAAATAGTTTGAGACCACTGCAGCCAAATTCTTTCCAGGGTCATTGGTAGTTGTATGCGATCTGATTAAATCTGAGTAAACAGTTTCTCCCTGTTCTCCAGCACACATTCTAGTGTAATTGAATTAGAGGAATGTCTGTTTTATTATCCTGATGATGTTTCTTCCACACTGAGGTTATTTGGAAATTTAGCCACAGTATTTGATTTCCCTAATTTGGTGGTAAATAGGGAGCATAGATTCAAGATTGCTTAGTCCAGGAGCGCCTGGGTGGCTCAGTCGGTTAAGCCGCTGCCTTCGGCTCAGGTCATGATCCCGGGGTCCTGGGATCGAGCCCTGCATCGGTCTCCCTGCTCAGCGGGAAGCCTGCTTCTCCCTCTCCCTCTGCCTGCCTCTCTGCCTACTTGTTCTCTCTCTCTCTCTGTCAAATAAATGAATAAAAAAATCTTTAAAAAAAAAAAAAAAGATTGCTTAGTCCATCTTTGAATGACTTGCACCCCCTAGCATAAAAACACTCAAATTGAGTAGTACAACCTGCAGCACTGAGCTTCTTTATTTGTAAGCTTTTTTTTTTTATTAACTATTTGTTTAAAGATTCTATTTACTTATTTATTTGTCAGAGAGAGAGAGAGAGAGCACAAGCAGGGGGAGCGGCAGGCAGAGGGAGAAGCAGGCTCCCTGCTGAGCAAGGAGCCCCATGCGGGGCTCCATCCCAGGACCTGGGATCACAACCCAAACCGAAGGCAGACACTTAACCAACTGAGCCACCCAGGCATCCCTGTTTGTCAGCTTTTAAGTGTCCAAAGAAGGGCTTGCAAAAAATGAACACGGTTTTGCTTTGTGAATCCATCTAGTGGCTTATGGGTCAAATGTAGTCCTCATGATCTTGACTGAAACTAACTTTAAAAAAAAATTTTTACTCATCTAACATATACCCATGAACCATGAGGCTGAACTGTCCGGCCACTGTGGGCTTGTGTAACTGATGGATGATAGGCCGGCGTGTGAGAGCAGGCTTGCCCTCATAAAACCCTCAGTGGCAGCAAGGTGTCAATAAATATATACCGTTGAGTCGTTCAGGTGCAAATTCACTAATATTTCATCATGAAACAGCAATATTATGGAGGATTACTCATAGGAATTTGACTCATGGCTTGCGTTGTTTACAAGATGTGACGTCACAAGTGGGCTCTCCGAACTCACCATTGTTAATCCCTACAGCGTAGATGCAGATACATTTCTGACCATCTGGAGTGTCAGAGTCTCTGGAGGTGATCTCTAACAAAGCCAAACTCAGTCCAAAACATATTACGTACGTTAGTTTCGTCTTGATCGTATTAGAGCCGTGCTTCATTCCGCACCATACAAAGAAGCCCATCTATTATAGCCATTCTCCCTTATAAAATTCCTCTAGGCCATTCCTCCTATTTCATTTCGCCTGCACTCAAGAGAGAATAACAGGTGGCTTATCAAATATAGTAACATTCAGTTGAATTATTTGACCTGAAAATGATGGCAGTCATTGTTGCTGAATGCTGACATGGATACAAGATTTAAGGTACATTTTTAGTACCTTCTTGGTTCCTGTTTCTTTAGTTGGACCTGGGGATATCCTTTTTAATGGTAATGATGTCATGAAATCATGTCATGTGGCCAAATCCAGTCTAGGAAACCAAAAAGCACCAAATGAAGCGCCTAATGCTTAAAGTAACAAGATGATGTATAGAGAGTATTTAACACAATGAATGAGTCACAAATAAATTGTTAATAGACTGCAAAGATTTTTGTTTGGTAAGAGAACAAAAGTATATCCTCTGTAGGAGGAAAAATAACATGTGCTCATAATGCCATTTTGATCAAGCATTAGGCAAGTAATAGGTATATTTCAACTTAAAATAATGAAAGCATTGACTCTCAGAAACACTACTTCATGGAAATTGACAAAATGATTACTTTTTAAGGCATGGAAAAGAAAAATTTATGAACTTCTTTTTTCCCCCTTGAGTTATTTCTGTCTTGTCTCACATTTACTGAAATAAAGAACTTTACAATTCCAAGTGGGAAAACTCTTAACATGACATTCTTCAGATAGACTTTCCATTGCTTACCAAAAACAAAAAACCAAAACCCCAAGCAAAACAAAAAAAAAACGAGTCCGGAAAAGGAGTGCTGTGATAGTTAATTAGCAAATGACGAATTAAGCTATCACTCCTTCGAATTCTTGGAAATGATTTCCAGGGCATCTTGGAATTATTACAGTGATGTTATTAACAAATGCTGTCCTGTTTGTTATATGACTATTTTACTTAGAAAATTTCCATGTCAGGTTATGGTTTGTAGATCTAACCTGGCAGAAATGAAAACATACTTGAAGGCATGCTTGTCGAACCGACAGCTGGCTCTGGTGCAGAGATGATGTTTACAATAAAGAGCAGAAAGCCAGGCAGCTCGGTTGCTAAGACAGCTGGGTCTTTGGAGCTGACCTCTCTTTTTTTGTTATTTTAGGAATTCTCCTACTTTCAAATCATTTGAGGAGAGGGTTGAGACAACTGTCACAAGCCTTAAGGTACAGATGAAGTGAATTTTGTGTCATGGGGTCCCGTGAATCAGGACAGCTTAGTCATTGTGGTGGTTAATTCTGAAGGCGGGACTGCCAGCATTCGGTGCAGCCAGGAAGAAAGCCTTGCACAGAGTCTGTCTTTTTCTTCACATATAAATCTGTCAGTAAAACCAGTATCTGAGAGTGTTGCTGGATCCTCACAGAGTTGTTTCCACAAACCATTTGAGGGTGATGACTTGTGAACATGTACTGGGATTTGTGTTCACTTCTTTGCAGGTTAGAACTCTAGTGCTGTCCCCTCAAAAACTGGTATGTGAGAGAGGATTGCGGGTAGGATCGAGGGTATGTGAATTCTGAATTTAGAGGTTAAGTGGAGGGTCTCCAACAGCTCATAGCCCCTCTGGTTTGCACATGGGCCAGCAAAAACCAACTTGGCCCCTGCGTTACACCGCCTCCCCTCTCCCGTCAGCCACCCAGACTTGTTTACTCCATTCCCAGACCGAGCACAGCACAGCATGATGATCATGGAGGGAAAATCAAACTGAGTCACAACGAGCATTCTTTTGTAATAACGCATTTGATCCCCAACTTTAAACTGAAAATACGCCTGTGTCATGGGAGGTGTTAAAAAAAATTTCATTGACTTTATCATTTGAGTGTAGATGAATTCATCTACAGAGGAAGAAAGCACAAATAAAATCAGTCTAGTCTCAAAATGAGACTTTCAAAACAGGAAAAATCATTGAAACAACTAAGATTATGTTTTTAAAGATACCAGCTAAACAGTGATTTAAATAGTCTTGATATTCTTATCGCTATTTAGTAGACAGTCCATTTCTGTATTTCCCTATCTGGGAAAATGAAGAATGCAGGGGATCTTTAAGCAGATCAAAGCAGGTGTGGGCACATGCTGATCATCCAGCTGCTTCTGAATCCTCTGCCACCATGTGCTGCCTGATCCGTCTGTGAGACTGTAAGGTATTCCTCACTAGAGCTCCTGCATGCTCTGATTGTGACTTGGAGAGTCTTTCCTCTTAGGGGAGGCTCTTCCACAGTCTCCTGCTTCTGCTTTATCGGGCCTGGGATTAGATGTTTAAGGCCCAAGAATGAGATTATTACTCAGCATTTCCCAGGCCTTGCTTTCACTTACCAGCACTTTGTAGTCGTGCGATTCCATGACCCTGCTTGTCAACATCATTGCTTATTGAGTATCCGGGGACCCGTAGGAGCCATTGAATTGCCCCCATGTGTAGGGAAAGCTTTGATAAGGAGGGACGTGCAGTGCCTGGAACATTTCTCTTGCTAGAATATCAGGTTTCAAAACTAAGGGTTCAGAAAATCCTAGGAGTTAATTTCTCAGCATTTGGTTCCCAGCCTTAGATAGTGGAAGGAGGATGGATTCTGTTGCTTGTTAGACCAGTTCTGACATAGGAGGAGTTGTACTTTTTAGGTTTTCTTTAGAAGAAGGAGATACGAAGAAGCAAAAGAAGAATAAACAACAACCTATTTCCCTTTGCTTTTAGGAAGCTCTGGTAAGCTCACAGCTCACATATGATTTAAGTGTTTGATCCACAGTCTGAGCTTCTCACTTCTCTCACTTTACTGGGATGGAAGGTGTAGAGCCTGCCTCCTCCTTCAGACGTGCACAAAACTAACTCAGCCGGCCAGATCCTAGCCTGTGTCAAGACTTCCTGAAAGTGGGTTCCGTGTCTGCATGATTGTCCCCGGGGTTTAACAAGACTCACATCCCACCCACCTCCCCTATGTCACAGCCGATGCCTACTTCCTCTTTTTCTGCCCACCCAGGCAGTGGAGAATAAATAGCTAATAATTGTGCTTTGTGTAAAACTCCCCACTCACTCAGTCATTGCAAGTTCCTCATTCTTTTTTTTTTTTCTCCAGACTAAATAATAGATGTTTAACCCTTCTTTATGTAGTTTATTTGCCGCATAGTTCTGTGTTCTAAATTTTCTCCAAAATTTCTATAACGTTCTTCAATTATGGATCCTGGGGCTGTTTCCGGCTGACTCACAAATCAGTAAGGATGAATCAGTAAGGAAATGCCTCGTAGGTCTCTGCTATGGTTCTCCTCACACATACTGCTTTAAGCTTGATTTTTAAAACATCGCTCAAACGGAATCCTGTTCATATTTGTGTTATATGAGAAATAATGTTCTGCTGGGAAAGGAGGTCCGTTCTTACCATCTGTCACACACCATGTGGCATTTATACTGATTGTTCTTCCTTTATACCCAGTTCTGTAACAGCTTGGTTTTCCATGTCATCACCATTATATAAAATTTAGTCCTGTTTGCCTAGATCCTTGGAATACATCACTCTCTCACCTGATGACATCTCAGCTGGTTTCACCTATAAACTCGATGAATGCACTTTCTATTTCCTCTAAAACAAACAAGCAAGCACAGCTCCGATGAAACCGTATTTGTTATGTTCCACCATGTTCCACCAGGGAATCATGAACAACTACATCCCTTCCAACCATTCTGATCATTTAACCTTCCAATCATTCTTCGAACCATGTCAAGCAGACCATATTTTTAATGCACCTCTTTTTGATGAATACTTTGCATGACTTTATTTAAAACCTTAAGAAAAAGACAAGATATACTTACTACTTCTTTGTATCTTCTCAACCAGCCATATTATTATGAGAGATTACGCGGCCCAACTCAACAATTCAAATAGAATTTTATGCAAACAACAATTATAGTTTTGGGGATAAAGTGACAAATGCTTGGATGAGCCATTATGAAGGAAAGGGTCCAGGAGAGTTTTATTGTTCACATCTTTGCTGATGCAACTCCTCACCTAAATAATCGCTGTGTACAGTCATTCAACCCACGTGGTTAGGAAACCCCTTTATTCCACTCAACCGTCTTGGTTAAAAACCCCTTCATTGCACTCCCTTTTTTTGACAAATTGCTTTATTTTAAAACTATTCCCACCTTTATTTTTCTATTTTGATTTGAGAAAAATCAAGAACTAGGAGAAGAGAAAGCAACAAAGCCCAAAAGAAAACATCAGTAATTGGTATTCACTTGATTCAAAACTGTGTGTGACTTCTGTTGCAAAACAGAATGCAGATAAAATAAAGAGGAGAATGGGAACTCTTAATAGAGTAGATTACATTGAATTAATCTTGTTTCTCTCCAGAAAGAAATAAACATAGTGAAAAATCACATAGTTGGAAGCAACCCCTGCTTCTTCCCAGTGCTGAGATGACACAGAGTCAGGGAGGAATCAGTGCTCAGTGCCAGAGGTTTGCAAATTAAGGCCTGTGGGCTAAATCCAGCTGGTTGCCTATTTTTTGAATGGCCTGTAAACTAAGAATGGTTTTTATATTTTTTAATGGTTGAAAAAAATCAAAGGAAGAATGCTATTTTGTGATGTGTTAAAATTAAATTACATGAAATCCACATTTCAGTGTCCATACACAGTCTTCTGTAAACACAGCCATGCTCATTCACTTATGTGTTGTTTTTGGCTGCTTTGTACAATGGTTGATTTGAGTATTTGTGACAGTGACTATGTGATTCCTAAGCTTAAAATATGTGTTATCGGTCACTTTCCAGAATGAGTTTCCTGACCCCAAGCAGAGTGGAAAATTTGACTTAGGAATTGAATCTAAAGAGGCAGAGAAGGATTTTAGTGACACCTGGAGAAAAGTGTATGCTTGTTTTGGAATGTTAGACTGGTTTTAAAACCTGGTTACCTTTTGTAAAGGGCAGACCAGGCAGTGAGTGGATACATGTTGCAGTGTGGCTTACGTTCCTCTGAGTGATCACTTTGGTGGCAGTGAGGAGTAGACAGCATTTTGGGACTAGCAACATTTTCTATTCTGTACCTTTCTTTTCCTCAACGTGTTTTCCCATACTGTTAGTGGTTAAAGGAAAACCAGTGCGACAATTAATAAGACTTGCATTAAACATTAAATATTCTTTTGAAGGACTTTTTAATACAGAATTTTTCAAAACATTTTACCCATATTTCTTAATATATTTCTTATTAATTGATTTCTTCCTGATTTTGTTATTACCAATAACAAGTACACAAAAAGGGAGCCTCCTAAAGCATCATAACTTTGCATTTCAAGGGATAGCCCTCCTTGAGGGGCAACTGCCTGGAAAGATGTGAAGTGGGCAGTGCTTAAGATCTGAGTCCTGTCTGCCTCTCAGAACAGAGACCAGAAAGCATGTTTAGTGGAGCTGCTCAGCCTTTTCAAAAGCCATTTGTCAGGGATCCAGGTAGCCTTTCTTAAGTCCCAGTAGGAAGCCTAAATTGGAGTCACTTAAAGATGTTTATACACTTTTTAAGTTGAGGGAATTTATCTAAAATCCAGTTCTGCTTCTATTACATCTGTTCTCAGGGTGATGTGTAGACAAATCCACAGATCTGGATATGCTCCTGAAGGGGTTGAGATTTTTAGATGTCAGAAGGCATAAAGAGAGCATTGCTAAAATTGTACAGAATTGAAGTTTTGGATCCTCTCCCAGATCCCAAGTATGAATGGCATTCTAGCACTCTGCTAAAGGAAACTAACTTCTCTACACCCTTTACGTTCCCTTTCAAGAAAAAAACTATTTTTGAACTCGAGAGTAGTCCGTTTTTACACAAACATTGCAGACCTGATGAACTAACTACGTTTGCATCTCTGGCCTTTCAGACGAAAGTAGGCGGGGCGAACCACGGCGGAGGCAGCTTCGAAGAGGTGCTCAGCTCCACGGCGCACGCCAGCGCGCAGAGCTCGGGGGGCGGGCCCCGGCGGGCCGAGGAGGAGGAGCTGCAGTGCTAGGGCAGCCCCCTGCAGCCGCCCCGAGCCCCGGCCCCGCCCAGCCGACCAAAATCGCGCTGCGAAAAACCCAGGCCTTGACCTTGTTCTTCAAACGGCCTCTCCGCAGAGTTTAATAAAATGATTTCCATTTTGTATTTGTGTTAATGATGGACCACGTGACCATCACATTCAGTATTCGTAGACTGTCATAATTTAAAATGTCCCCACTTGAGCAGGTACAAAATTGATCATAACCCTTGTCTTTGTGTAATTCAGCTTGTTGTAGCTATTAATGATCCAAACTCGTAGCTATTAATGATCGGCTTTGGTTTTCCCTTGGACCCCTTTATGATGTGCATGTCTTTGAAGGCTGAGAGTGGTGAACACTCCCTTCCAGGTCGGTCAGGTGGGCGGGATAGTTTTTTCTGACCTTCTCCAGCAACAGGATGGGTTCACTGCAAATTTCATCAAACTGCTTGCGATCGCCCTCACTTGCATCAATTATATATGTTTGTTTAAGCAATTAAAATAATTGGTTTTAATGAAGACTTTGAATTCTTAATTTCTTTACGTCTTCAGGGCAGGTAATGACTTTAAAAGATGGTAGCTATGAATCTGCAGATGCTATTTTTTTTTTTTTTTAAAGATTTTATTAGAGAGCACGAGCATGGGGGAGAGGCAGAAGGAGAGGGAGAAACAGACTCCCCGCTGAACAGGGAGCCCGAAGCCAAACGGGGCTCCTGCCACTCTGCGATGCTATTTTAAATCAACGTCTACTGCTAATTTGGTGAACATAAGAGGATGTGTAAGTAATTATAACCTCAGCGACCCTACCAATTCTAAAATTCTATTCCACATAGAGTAGCAAACTCAGGTAAGGGAGACCTGAAAGGGGGTGGCCAGAAAATGGGAGAAACAGTTCTGCTTCCCCTTCCATTTTGCAAATTGCTCACATGAATGAAAAAAGCATCCTATTAATACAATCAGGTTTCTGCAGGAATTTTTACCTTCCACATCATATGCTTCTCTTTTCTTCTAAATGGGACCTATACATTTGTTACTAGGTAGCACACACACATCCTATAGATGCAATTTTTAAGTGAACACAGAATTGACCTATTAACTTAAAAAAGCACCGTTTAATATATATATTATTCATGCAATATATATTTTATTTATTCATTGTTTAATTTACTTAGAAATATATATATTTCTTTTTATTTTTTGATGTAGTGTTCCATGATTCATTGTTTGCATGTAACACCCAGTGCTCTATTCAGTACGTGCCCTCCTTAATACCCATCACCAGGCTAACCCAACCCCCCACCCCCCTCCCCTCTAGAGCCCTGTTTGTTTCTCAGAGTCCACAGTCTTTCATGGTTTGTCTCCCCCTCCGATTTCCCCCCCTTCATTTTGGGAAATATAGATATTTCTACATAAAATATATGTATTTTATAAATTATACACACATATGTATACATATATATATATACATATATGGCGTAGTGAAATAAAGCCAGTCTGAAAAATTCTATTCAAATTAATGGAGCAGGACAATCCACACATCTAACTGAAAATCAAGCTAGTTCAAAGCCACATAATCTCTGAGGCTTGCAGTCTTAGCAGAGATAGGTATGGGGCTATAATCTTGAACCAGCGTGGACAATGAAGCCCTGCCAGTAGGATCACTGGCATTCTCTCTAACTTAACCTTCCAGCATGTTGGTTGAAGCCAAACCCTGTCCAGCTGGCTTGTAATTTGCTCACCCACCGCTGCATGTGGCTGTCAATCTCTGTGCTCAATTTGCAGTTGCCTGGTGTGTTTGAAATGGTCACCTTTTATAAACTCACTTCTTGACCGCATTCTTTTTGACTGCACTCAGCAAACTGCACCGTATTAGAAAAAGCAGAGTTACGGTGCTATACACAAATATCTTCATTCACCAACCGATTTCTGCACAGGTAAGTCTCAGCCTTACATATGACCTGAAAACATAGTATTAACAGTGACTAGAAAAACAATCAAGATAATTAGTGTTCATGTCTCAAAGCTTCAAATACATTTTAGCCTCTTACTTTAAACCATTCTTCAAAACTTTGAATTTCATCAGTTTTATAAAAACTATATTCATGTCAGCTCTATTAATTGAAAGGTTTTTATGATTATTACTCACTCTGATCTGGGAGTGAGATAAGGGACCATGACATGAGTAGGCTTTCATTTCGTCAAACGATATGTGAAGAAGTCACATTACTGGGGCGCCTGGGTGGCTCAGTCGTTAAGTGTCTGCCTTCGGCTCAGGTCCTGGGATCGAGCCCCGCATCAGGCTCCCTGCTCGGCGGGGAGCCTTCTTCTCCCTCTCCCACTCCCCCTGCTTGTGTTCCCTCTCTCGCTGTGTCTCTCTCCATCAAATAAATAAATCTTTAAAAAAAAAAGTCCTATTACTCCAGTCGTTGGTAGGTGGGTAGTTAGCACAGACGTTTCATTTCCTCACGGCCTAATCACTCAAGAGGTGCCTGTTTCTCCCTTACTTTGTGCCTGTGCAAGCTCCTCCTGACTTAATTCTACCCTGGGTTTCCGTATTATGTCCAGCGGGGCTCAGTTCACACACAGTAGTACTGTCTCCACAAGTGCTGAAAGGTATTTGCACGCCATGGGCTTAACCATTCACTAAAAAAATCAAAATGACTTCAGGTCAACACCATGTATACAAAATTAATATCACAACCCCGACAACCTCGAATTCCAATGTGAATTGTGATTACAAAATAAACTGGCTTTTTTAAAGTAAGCAGTTCTATAATGTAACCATTTGCTACTTTTTAAATACCGTTGCTTGATGGAAAATACTCATAGATTTACGCTACAACTTTATCTTACAACTCACATCTCATGAAAACTATGACTGTTGGTAAGTCATGTCAGCAAAGCAACCTGCCTCTTACTCTGAATTACACATTTTCTTACAAAGCTGTTCTTGAACCGTAGACAACAAAACAAACTACATGCTTTATTACAGAACGTCTTGACAAACCACGCCATTCACAGTGGTCAACGCGAAGAAAACCCCAGAAGTCTAACCTGCGGCTCTGTCACTATTCACTGTTCCAGAGTTACCTGTCGGGGCCTGAAAGCTGTTGCACTTCACTGTAAAATGGAGCATAAGGTGGTTGTGAACTTGAGCCACAACACCTCCTCTCACTTAGTATCCAATTGGAGGGTGGGCGGGTGCAGGAAAGGGCAATGGCCCTAGGGTGAAAAACTGGTTTCAACATGAAATGTAAAAAAATGACTTCAAATCTGGTGTTCAGATATAATTTCAAACTATACTATTTGGCAACATCTTATGGTTGCTTGGTAATCTCTAAGAATGGTAAAATTCTTTACACGTCTACCTGACTTTTAGTTCATACCATAGAGTATGTATCAAGGCAATTAAAAAATAAGATACTCGTAAGTCTCCCACAGGAATCATCCCAACCCCACTTTGAATATGAAGACTAGCAAACTACTTAAATAAAACTGCTGGGCACAGAGGATGCTTTTCCACCTGGCACTTCATCAGTCATTTATCACAGAGTGATAATGTGCCACCAGACTGAGATGAACAGGTTGGACCTTCTGTTAGAATTGACATTTTTCGAATAGAAGGGCACTGAGACTTACGTTAACAGCTGGTGAAATGCCAGTCCACAAGGCAGAAACAAGGAACTTAAAAAAAAAAAAAAAAAACCCACCCCCCACCCCACCCCAGTCAGCTCCCCCACCTGAGATGTGTCCCCTCCAACTACCCCTACAGCCCTGCCTTTCCACCCCCCCTTTTGAGTGGGGTAGTCTCTCTTCTTCATTGCAAGGAAGTAATGCATTCTTTTCTGTTGAGTTCAACCCAATAATAATGTTTTGCACCACATCATAATTATAGGGTTTGTTATTCAGAAGATCAATTCCAGGCAAGTAGCAGGTATCTTCCAGGAGAAAACAAAAATTTTTTAAATGATAATGCTCGAATATTTGTAGACTTGGCTGGTGAATTCGATAGCTTTTTCTATTGATTCTTTTTCTATTGATCTTCACTGTGTTATTAAATAGGATTTATAGCACCATTACATTTTCTTTCCCTTCTTAAACCTATTACCCCAGTAAGGAAGATTTAGAACTAAGTGTGAACTTGGTAGGTAGATGGAAAACTGAGACGATGACCAGTAGGTGACCAGTAGCATTAAGTCTGACCCAGTAGAGGCTCCCTAGTCTATGAATTTATGAAAATTACAGCAGGCAAAACATCCCAAGTAAAGCTTCAGGGCCACAGAAAATCTTCTGGTTAGAAATATTTGAATTTTTATCTGCAATTATTTTATGGGTGTATGTTCATGCCAGGAGAAAAAAAAATCCAAAATCCTGATAAGATGCAACAGTATGTTGAAGCCAAGCAGCATTGCTCTTTTCAGTGCAGAGTAGCTATATGTACACGTGTGTTGCTTCTGAAGAGATCATGCACTTTGCTTCCGGCAGATTGGGTATCCATGGATACTGCAAAGAGTTTCCAAAGAAACGCTGCCTAGAATATTCTCACCACGCCAGACTAGCAGGCCCTCACATGGAAACTGACACTTGAATTAAAGGGATAGGCATCATTGCTTCACACCAAAATACTGGGCAGGTTTGCATGGATAGTCTTCTTTGCCTCACCATTCAGTGGTTGTGCATCACTTAAAGGCAAGCAGGGTAGGTTACTTATCCAATGAAAGGAAATGAGGGGGAGAAACTGGATCTGTGTTCCCTACATAAGGTGCAGCGACCCCAGTAATACTCTTCTGATTACAGATTTCTTACCCGGCGATCAATGTTCTTATAAATCAAGGTCTGAATATTTATACATCAGACAGGGAAAAATTACACAGAGGCAGACAAGTGGCACTTGACATTGTGTGCCTGAATTTATCCCCAAATGACCAAATGGATTAGGGGGAGAGGCAGAACCTGTTAACAGGTTTACAAGTCTATGACCAAGGGTCTAAAGCAGGTCACAGTGAAATGAACAATGGGGCTCCACAGAGTGAACGTCTGAACAAAGCAGCATTTCGTAAATTCATTGTGATACATTCTTTTTCTGGATCCTTATCACTAAGTCAGCTGAAGAATCTGTTCTTAAAAGTCATCATAACTTAATTTTCCATCAATCCATGAATCGGGCCTTCAGGGTTATGGGTTATTAGTTTAGAATAAAATGATTTAAAATCTCCAATAAATACGCCAAAGCTTAAGGTTTTAAAAATTTATTTATTTAGTTCATACAGAGCTCCCCCCCGCTGCCCCCAGCCTTCATCCAGGGCATTTTCAGGACCACATCCTGTTCCTTAGCTTCTTTTATTATCCAGATTGTATCACACGTTTCTTACTGGAGTCCAGGCAATGGAAAATAAACAGACTCACATCCGGGGAATCAACACAGCAACAGTGGCAAAACACACCACCACGAAAGGGCAAAACACAATGTCACAGGAGTGCAGCAACAGAGGACACGTCAGGAGCTCAGCTCACTGGTGGGAGCTGCTATGTTGGCGTTTCTTTCTGCCTCAAGTTCAGAAACAAGCTGGACTATCTCAGGGTGACTGAATTTTCCTGCAAGGCAAGAAGACCGGAAAAAGATACTGACAAGAGAATCCATCAATGTCTCCAGCTTGATCCCAGGCTTGTCAGGGGCTCGACTCTGAGATTCACTCCAACGCAGAAGAACACAACTCCAGGTCCTGGGGAGGGGACCACTTGGAGATCATGCTCCGTCTCCCCAGATGCCACCGAGCACTAGGGATGAGGATCGGACAAAGAACTGTCCCATTAGACAGAGCTAGGGGAGACCGCACCAGGCGGCCTCTGAATGCTTCTACCCGGAACCACAAAGAAACTCAGGACAGCACCCAGAGAACTGAAAGCAATCCCTGCCCGTTCGGAAACTGCAAAGGATGGGGGAACAAAGCACCTACATACAGAAAGACTAGTAGGAAGGCAGAAGGTCTAGGCTGTCCCACGATGCAAACGTTCCTCTTGTAAACACTTCTACACCATACCCCACTGATCTGTGCTGTCTTCCCTGCTCCTCAGCCCTCCCAGATTTCTGTCCTGGGCAGCAACCAACCTACAAGCTATCTTAGGTTCAAAGTGGCTGGCACATGGGAATATTACACCCACCCTCCTTCCCTGTATTTTCGTTTTTTGGTTTTGGTTTTTGCTTTGCCAGTACCTTTTGTTGTTTACTGTTCATTCCACATTTAACTCTGTTCCATTTATTCCCTATTCTCAACCTCTTCTTTGAACGTTCCCTTCACTTTCTTGTGCTGATGTCTGGCTCGTCCTGAGGATATGGCTTTCCCTGCAGCCTTGTCACACAGTGGCCGTTTCCTCTCTCACATGGCTTTTGTCACTGGGCTTGGGTCTGTCCTCTATGTTCCCCTTGCCTCCAGGCCACTCTCTGCCCCACTATGTAAAGCTCATGCAATTACTGCCATTCCATCAAAATGGCCCTTATTGAGGACACACCAATTAGCTCCACATTGCTGAATCCGATGGCTCCTCCTTCCCTCTTGAAACACTTTCTTCCCTTCACTTTTGGGACCCCTGATTTTCTCCTCTGAAACCTATTTTTCCCCCATCTTCTCCATCTAGTGGCAACTCCATTCTTCTATAGTTGCTCAGACCAAAATCCTTGGACTTCTCTCATAAACACCGCCACACAAATCTTGTCGACCTTTATATTCAGAATATATCCAGAATCTGACCACCCCTTCCTTTTTCTACCACTACCTCCTGGCTCAAACCACTAGAAGACTGCAATAGCCCCCAGTCGGTCTCCCTGCTTCCAGCCCAAGTGACCCTTTCAAAACATAAGTCAGATCATGCTCGTCCTGCAGTCCACCTTCTCCAAGGGGCCCCCATCTCACTTAGAGCCCACGCTAACCACCAATACTGGCCGGCGGGCCTCAGCCCACTTCTCTGGCCTCACCTGCAACCCTCTCCTCTCATCTACCCCCACAAGCCACGCTGGCCTCCACGCTGTTCCTCGAACACATAGAGTTTCAAAAAGAAAAGAGAAAAAGCCTTAAGTGGTGACTGAATTAGAGAAATAAAAATGTGTTATCAAACTAAAGCCTTTATGTCCCCTTCAAAATCCTCATAAGGGGGGCACCTGGCTCTCAGTCGGCAGAGCATGCGACTCTTGATCTCAGGGTCACGAGTTCGAGCCCCATGCTGGGGGTACAGATTACTAAAAAGAAAAATCCTCATAAGGTCACAATGTACATCTTCACCTCTCCCTAACTAAACTTGTTTTTTCCTTCAAGCATTATTGGGATAAGTAAGAAACCACGCCTTATATCAGTTACATTACTTACAATTATTAATTTTTTAATAGAGTGGTGCATCAGAGTGGAAAGTAAAGTGAATTTTAACCTAAACTCAGCTGAGGAAGCACTATCCTCTTTCTCAGCTCCAGTGTCTTCCTCAATAAAATGTGGAGTTTAAACCAGATGACCCTCCTACCTCCAATTTTTTGATTCTACTAGGAGTCTCATGTTTCATTTTCTATTTTTCACTGTGAATGTATCAAAATAGAAAATGATAGCGTTAAAATGCAAAGCACCACACAAACATGACTTGTATTTCAGTTACATTATTGGCAAAATATGCTATCTTGGAACCCAGTCATTGCTTAGAATAGGTTTGCAAACCTTTGCTGTAAAGAGTAACACAGTAAATACTTCAGGCTTTGTGAACTATGTGGTCTCTGTTGCCAGCTACTCAATTCTGCTCAATTCTGCTACTGGGGTGTAAAAGCTGTAAGACAATACATAGAGAACAAGTGTGGCTGTTTCCATAAAACTTTATTTATATGAACAAGCAACAGTCCAAACTTGGCCCATGAGCCATAGTTTGCTGATCCCTAGTTTAGACTGCTATTCTATTTAACTGAACTCAAACATTTCTGAGCACCACCTGTAACAAAAACAGATGAGACGAACCTGGTCTTGGCCCTCAAACAGTTTACTATGGGGTAGAGTGAGCAACTGGGGGTTTGGGAAGAGACTCAACAAGAAACATCACTAAAGAGAATGCAAGTCAGACTGTCACAACACTGTGGAAAGCTCTAGACCAAATGCAGATTGAGCAAAAAGAAGGGAACGCCTAATTCTGACAGGGATCAGAAAAGGAGACCAGGGAGAGGAGTGGCCTCAGACTGCACAGCTGTTGAGCACAGAAGTTTTGAAAATGAAGATGTGATAATACCTATGTCTACAAAGGAGGAAAACACTGAGTCCTGCAGGATGAGCTCGTGAGCCTGGCTGGCGGAGTTAGGAAGTAATGACAAGAATCCAATACAGAAATAAGGAGGGCCTTGTCTGACGCAGAGGAAGTGGGGCTGGAAAAGAGGGAAGGAGAGTCGAATCAACCTCATGATGATGCACATCATATCCTGGAGCACAGCCTGTGAGCTGGGAGCCACGTGACGTGTCGAAAAGTCCCCAACGGGCCATCTCTAGCAGTGCTCTCAGGGGAGACGGGGGCTGAGCTGAGCCTGAGGAACTCCGGGGGACGAGAGACGGAGCTGTGCTCCACGGAAGCCCCACGAACCCCAGCCAGTACTCCTACAGGCTCTGAGCTTCACCAGAAATTGTATCACAATGAAGACAGTGAAGGCTTATTGCCCGGTATGATGCTAAGCACTTCACACGAACTAATCCGCTAGATCTTGAAATACCTCTATAAAGTAGATTCTATAATTATCCTTATTTTAAAGATTTTTTTTTAAAGTAATCTCTATACCCAACATGGGGCTCAAACTTACAACCCTGAGATCGAGAGCTGCTTGCTCCACCGACTGACCCTGACAGGTGTCCCTATAATTATCCTTATTTTAATAATACGGAAACTAAGGTCCAGAGCTAGGTTAAGTAATCTGCTGGAGGTTACATGGGTTATATGGGGCAGAACTAGAACCAGTTGAATGCCAGGTCCGTGCCATGAAGCACTATAATGACAATGGTGACTTCACGGTTTGGGGTTTTCTACTTTCAACATCTCTTTTTCTACCTCCATCTTCTATGACTTTACTTCTATAAAGCACTTCCAGATTATAAGGCACTTTCACAGACATGCTCTCTTTTGAATCTCAAAACCCACCTGTGACTCAAGTAGGGTAAGCTTTATGCTTTCTATTTCTCGGGGAGGGCAGAGAGAGGCCAGGGCAGGCACTGCCCGGGGCACAGAGCCAGCTGTGACTGTGACCCTGGCCTGCCGCTCAGAGCAAAGGGCAGCAATGCTCTCACGCGCCAGGCTGCCCCTCACCAGGAAGCCCACCAATTCCCTGTGGAAGGAAGCGTCATTAGAAGGTCACAACAGCGGATCCCACGAACGCGACGCCAGTCACTACGCTAGGAGGAAGCCCAACTAAAACGGTGTTTCCTGAGGACAGCGCCGAGTACCTGCCGTGGAATCATAGAAGTCCTGCAGCCTCCCAGGTTTGCTCTCCAGGTTCTCATACTCGGAGGCCTGAAGAATCATCTCACATCGGTCCAGCTGCTTCACAAACCTGGCTTCTGCACTTGACTGGGTCTCATACTCCTAAGGACGAAAGCAGCACCATGAGAACCAGACTCGCAGCTAAAAGGACGCTCTGTACTGGCCACCGCTCCCGACCACGCGCAAGCCCCTCACAGAGCCGCGGCCTCCGACACTTGGCCGCTTGCTCTCAGCCCCCCGGGCAAGAAGGGTGCGCTCGCCATTCTGCGTCCTCCGCCAGATGCCTCCCAAGTCTCTTCTGTTCGCATCGACACTCCGGGCCTCCTTCTCCCCGGCTGGTACCGTGTCTTCAGGATCATTATTCCTTCATCCACCGCAGTGGTGGAGCTCTTTTTAACTTCAAGCTAATATTTCATGGCATGCTTCTCAAATTATTTCCCTCCCCACTTAAAAACGGTCAAGCTTCCTTTTCAAGGGCATTTCTAGCTTTCTTATGGAATTTTGGCTGTCCCTTTACAATGGAAATCTCTGTCCTTGCTTTCCAAACAGGTCCCCCTGGGGTGTGACTCCAGAGGACACGGGCAGGATCTGCGGGTTCTTCACACGTCCTGGTGACAAGGTGGTGCTGAAGGCAGTGGTTGGGGAGCAGCTTTTTTGTCTTTCCTCTGCCTTCTGGTCCTGCCCTCCTCAGTGCAAACCTGAGACTAGCGGCTCCGGGAGGGCTGCTTCGTAGAGCATGACACATGTCACACAACCCCAAGTCCCAATTAATACTAGATAGAATCGTTTTTCTATTAAGACCAAAGTGTTCCCAACTGGTTTCCCTGCAAAGTGCTCATTTGTAATTCCACCCCAGATGTGTCTGGATAATGAACCTGTCAGGCTTTCTTGGCAGGGTGATGTGATGTGACTCACTTAAGGTTTCTCGGTTTTTATTAGATGCCTTATTCTTATGAAGGCAGCTATTTGGATTTTGATAGAGCTGACAATTGTACAGGGAAATCGTTTTAATATGAAACCAAATACATTTTGTTTTATTTCAAAGGCACTTAAAAATAATTATTTAAATGCTTATTCACATTTATAATTATATATTTACATTTAATAATTCAAGTTCATTATTCAACAAAAAAAGAAGTCGAATATACTCAAGGCATGGCAGTTCAGGATTTTTCTCTATTGAAAGTAAGAAAAAAAGATTTCGAGACGATTAGAAAATGACCACCCACTGTATAACAAATTCTGGTGAAATTACATGTTTCTTTTAAAAATATAAATTGTTGGGTTTTTCCTCAAAAAGTAATGGTACAGGCATTTCCCAATTTCATTTTCCAACAATGAGGCAGGGCAAGGAGAACAGTGAGGCCAAGAAAGCTCTAGAAGTAAGAAGACGCCATGGCATCTTTGGGGAACTTACTGCAGGCAGTTTCTCATGACAGGATGCAGAATTAATTGCAGGAGGAAGAGGAGAGAGAAGAGGCTGAAGGGGGAGGAAGGGTCAGCTCCTGAAAGGCCTTGTGGTTTGTGATAAAGGGGTTTCAGCTTATCCTGTAGCTACTGGACATCACTGAAAGGGTTCAGGCCAGAAGGGTCATGATCAGACATTGTAGAAAGATCATCTTACCCTCACTGTGGAAAATGGCTAGACTAGAGGCAGAGAAATCAGGCTCTGAGACTTGGTAACACCAGCAGAGCAGCTAGGAGAATCTGGTCTGGCCTAATCTCGTGGCAACGAAGATGGAACAAGTGGGCAAATTTGAGAAATACTAAGGGTGAAGAAGTGAACCAAAATGTGGATGTGAACGAAAGGAAAAGCTAAAAATGACTCCTTAGTTTCTGGCATGGGTAACTCAAGAGGGAGCAAAGGGGAGAAACAGGCCCAAAAACTGACAGAGCAAAGAAACAGCAAAACCAAAACCTAATGAATATTTATAACAAAACTACGGAACATAACATTACCATGAATCACAAAATATACATTAAGTGGGGACAAATCACTTCCAGGCATGAGCCCTGCTTTCCATCAGCAGGAGCAACAGGGCATCTGATGGACCTGAGAATAGGAGAACCTCAGCTCCAGGAGCAGCTGACGCAAGCCCAGCCCTGGTGAATTCGCCAGTCTGACCTGCTGGGGCTCGCTCCAGACCAGGGCTCCATAGAAAGAGAAACTGCTGGGGGTGGAATCAAAAGTGAGTGGCGTAAGGATAACAAGAAGAAGAAAAGAAAAAATCCAGATAAAAGTGGAGAAAGAGAACAAAGCCAGGGAATCTCTGAACGCAGGCCACCATATATTAAAACAAAACAAAACAGAGCAGATGAGGAAGCTCTGTGAAGTTCAAAAAAGTTATCTGGGGGCGCCTGGGAGAGCTGAAACCCGACTCTCGATTTCAGCTCAGGTCACTATCTCAGGGTCCTGTGATCGAGTCCCACATCCCATCCGGGTTCCACACTCAGTGGGGAGTCTGCTTGAGATCCTCTCTCCCTCTCCCTCTGCCCCTTTCTCCCCTCTCAAATTAATAAATACATTTTTTTTTTAAGTTATCTGAACCAAGTTTCCTTCCAAAAGTTTGGGAAAACTAATTGTGTATCAAAATGAGCAACAGAAAAAGCACAGAGATGAGATCCCATACAAGCCTACCAGAAGATAAAAAGAACAAGGAGCAAAATGACATCTCTACAGATAATTCACATCAGAAAGACATCCTTAATTTTTTTTAAAAGGATCAAATCTATAAGAAACTACTTGAAAAAGAACTAAAAGATGCTAAAGAAATGTTAAGACATGAAAGAACCATATAAAAAGCATTAGAGATAAAAGAAAAAGTCATTTTTGCAGTGAAGGCTAAGCAAATAGAAACACAGGGATATTTAAACATGATAAATAATACCTCAAGAGAAATAGAAATTGAAAAGGAAGTTAGGTTTAAAAGTCAAAAAGAAATGAAGAGGATGTAAAGGATCTGAGGGAAGGTGACAAATATTAAAGACAGGCAAAGAAGAACCAACATTACAGGTATGTAGGTGTTTTGGAGGAAAAAAGGAAACCAAAGTAAAAGATAAACTATATTCAAAAAATTTTTCTTGAAATTAATTTTTTTTAATTTGAAAGTATATGTTGAAAACACACACTAAGTAGCTAAGGATATTAACCCAGAAGGACCAACACCAAGACACATTCAAATAAAATTACCATATATATTTTTAAAAAATCCTTTGGACACCTATGCAGAAACAACACTGGACATGTAAGGAAAATAAAATTATTATTAGACTTTGCTTTATGACCAAAGAGAATGGGAGTAATGTATTTAAGATATTCAAGGAAAGAAACTGGGAGCCAAGGATTTTATAAAACTGACCTTCCAGTATAAAGAACAGAGAGGCAAGTTTAAAGCATATTGTTCCTGTGAGCCCTTCTTGAAGAACCTACAAGAGAACAAGTTTCAGACAGCCAAAATGACCAGGACAAAATGACATAAGGATGGGTAGTGAGCATCAACAGGTACTTGCAGAACTAAGATTCAGCGAGGTGTAAGAACAATATGTTATGGTTAATGTAATGTAATGGTAATGTAACAGTCTAGAGTACAATCTAGGTAGAGTACAACCATAAAAAAAATACAGGAAGAACGGAGACAGCATAGGCAAGACAATTTTTTAAACTGTTTTCAGTAATCAGAATTGATGATGGTGGTATATACAATTGTTACTCTGAGACGGGTACATGTGTAGAGAAGGATAAAGCCTATATAATCAGGATTCCTTGTGTGGAAGAAAGGATAACATAGAAGAGGTTAAAACATACCATACAAGAGGTTAAGTAAAAACCGTGCAGTACTGTATTTGAATTGGAAATATCACCATGAACCCACGAGGAATACACACATGTATATCCTAACTCTGTCCGTTAAAAAGCATAAGAACAATAACCCACTCAGTAGCAGCAAGCACCCCACTGCACATATTGTGGTCTTGAAATAATGCTGCCTATTGAAACAAAAAAACAAAACAGGAGGTCTGGCTGAAGCATGTTCAAGATGAATAAGGCTGGATTACTCTGTCTTTCCTGCTATCAAGGAAGCGACCAAAGTCAAGTTTCTATCCCACCTTTCCTATATGGACTGCAACCAAAGAGGAGATGAGGAAGAAGCCTCTGCTTATACAATTATTTCAGCCACTAAATGAAAACAAGACAAAAACATTAGTATATTACAATTCTCAGTGCATCAAGAAAACATTATGTGCCTCAGGATAAAGAATCCAACACCATCTACAGTTTTGCCAAAAAGATCCAACGTGAGTCTGATCCAGGCTCTGGATTCAGAGGCCAATCTGCAGAAAATAAAACAGAGGAACAGAACTGCATCATGAGTGTGCAAAACCCAGACTATGGAAAACTCTGTAAGCCAAATGGTCTGGATTCTTCAACAGATAACTTGAAAGAAAAGAAAGAGATGGGGTGGGGTCAGAGGGGAGGGGCAACTGTAGATTAAAGGAGATTTAAAAGATATATTAAAGCTTTAAAAAAATGGACAGGATTAAACTACAATTTGGGATGACCCCTTGGGTGATAAATCCATGAAGAAATTCAGGTGATCCCTGTGAAAATCAGGGCAGTGGTTACTTTTGGAGGGAGTGGTTGGGCTTGCTCTGGGCACAAGAAAGGGCTTCTACAGGGGAGTGGCACAGTTCCAAATCTTTTTGTTTTTTAAGATTTTATTCATTTATTTGACAGTGAGAGAGAGAGCACCACAGGGAGAGCAGGAGAGGGAGAAGCAGGCTTCCCGCAGAGCTAGGGAGCCTGATGCGGGGCTCGATCCCAGGACCCCGGGATCATGACCTGAACCGCAAGCAGATGCTTAACAACTGAGCCACCAGGCACCCGGGCACAGTTCCAAGTCTTGATGTAGGTGGTAGTTACAAGGAATGTTATCCTTCCAGTACCTCATTATGCTATACACAGGTGTTTGTGTCCTTTTCTGTGTTTTACTTTTCAATAAAATGGTTTTACAAATAATAAAAATGGCTGAAGAAAATGAGGATGCCATGAACCGGTTGAGCAGGATATTTAGGTGGAGCTGCCCATTAGGCTGCTGGATTTG